CTTCTCTTCTGCTTTCTGCTGAAATTATTCACTGATCCGTGTGTGCTGTATTTGCTTTCATGAGAAAACAGATTGTCGACATTCCTGGTGTGTCTCTGCATCTAGCAAAACAATATATTGGCAACCACGTTATATTTCTGTGACTTGAACGGTACTGAAACTATTAGCTGCTTTCATGGAATAAGTCTTGACTGAGGTGCACACACTTCGTAGGCTTCTGTGGAAATGATTTCATTTTTCTATGAATTGAGCTTCAAATATTTTTTTTTTTTCATTCAGTAGGTAACAATAGAATTAAAGCACTGTCTTGACTTACCAATTTGAAATCATCTTCCCCTTAGATTTCATCAGGTTCTGCATTTGTATAATAACATAATGCCTTACGAATGTGGTAGTTTAGACATACTCATTTTGGTGGTAAGCTTCAGAGTATTTTATTTTTTCCCTTTCAGAAATATATAAAGATAAAACAAATGAAAACCTTCTCTAACAACTTGCATTTAAAACAAGAAATCTTTGCTAATACTGGCTTTGTGCAGTCTTAGGTAAAGGCACTTGAGGCTGATAAGAGGCTCAGTTTCGGCACCTGAACAGGTAGCGGTATCAGCACAAATGTGCTCTTAAAAAGAGATTGTATTCTTTCCTTGGTGGTGGTTAATTTATGAGTAGTAGGTGACCGATCCACACATGGTATTCTGACTGCCTGTCCTAAGATGGGCAGAGGTCATCCAATCTGTAGCATTGTATAACTTGATATAAAGAAAAGGAAGAATGTGGCAGGTGGCACACAGAAATATGTAAGAGAATGTGGAAAACCTCTTCAGTCTGGAAAACACTGTTCATTCCTTCCATTGAGTCTTGGTGATCTGACCATCTAGTCTTGTAGAAAGCAGAGTTGTGTTTCAGTGTCCTTCAGAAACTTTTCACTGAAAATGTAGATTTTGGTTAGTATGAGTTCTCAGTTAAAGTCATAATGTTGCCATGGTCTAAGAGGTGAGGTATAGAAGTGTAGATTTTTTTTTTTTTTTTTTTTTTTTTTTTAGAAAACGAAGCGGGTTTCTGTGAGTTGTTTCCACAGTAGTAATCATATTAGTATTTCTATTTCTCAAATAATGGGTATTATTTTTAATAAGTCAATTTTTTAATAAGTCAATTTATTTTTTTTCATTTAGGACCATCTTTTCATATTCAGTCAGGTATCATTTTTATATATATGTATTTTCACATTATATTTTTCTATCACGTTTTTTCATTCATATGTGCAAACACGCATATACACACATGCATACAGTCTCATACTATTCATATATTGGCTGGAGCTGGTAGTGCCAACTTAAGCTTTTTTTTAGCAGGAGATATCTAGAAATGTTTGTAATTTGGCTCTACAGAACTCTGCAAAATTTGAATCATTCAGGACGAAGTTTTCCATTCAAGTATCAGTTTCATACCAAATCGTTTTTTAAGATGATGAGAGGAGCTTGTTCTTTCAAAGAACAAGGTTAAAAGAAAATCGAGTGCTCTGTCCACATTTTAAAAATAATTTTGGAGAAGCTCTAGTGCATATTCTAGTGCCTTTTGGGGTGCAGGGTGGGGAAGGAAAGGAAACAGGACCTGAAGGTTGTTTTGTGTGAGGGAAATGCTTTTGCTGATTCTGTGGGGAATTACCCATTTCTGACTAAGTTTTAAACCTTTGGGAAAATGTTTGCATGTGATTGACAGAGACTTGTTAGAGGTTTACCAGTTAAATTCTCGTAGGATCACACCTGTTCTGCACATGTAAGCTCTGTAGAGCTGTACCTTAAAAGCTGAGAGGGTTTTTTCTCTGTTGCTGTATGCAGAGCTTGTTCTGAGGCTGGGTAAAGGAAATAAGGAGCAGTGAAACTCAGGTTCTTGGATAGTGCAAACTGGAACTGGCAGCTGGCAGGCAGAGGGAGAGAGGGGCAAGAGGGCGGGACGGAAGGACTGGTTCTACCTGGCGAGGAAGAGTGAGACCAGATAAGGAGTTTACCTGCCTGCAACTTTAGGAAAATAGAGCCACAGGTTCTGTAGTGTCTGAGGTGAGTGCTTCTTGAGGCCTGGGATGGTGATACCTGAGACTTGCCAGTCCTCTGTTGCCAGCAAGCATCCATGAAATCAATTGGCAAAGTCTCAGCCACCCTAGCTGCAGATGTGCATAGAAGAATACATGCTTTCTCTTCTTACATCCCCTCCTTCTTTCACTACGTGTTTGCCAGCTTCTGCATGAAATGAGATGGGCATGCTGGTTCTACAAATAATATTCCTATATTCTACCCAACTTTGACTAATAGCAGAAGGCCCAGCCTACACCAAGGATCCAGCAGGGTGGGAGAGAGCAAAAGGGTTCCTATGGAAGAAGTGAATTTATGATTTTGTAACTCAAGACTCTTTTGCAATGCCTGTGCATGAGAGGACCCTGTTGTGATTGTTCAGACAATCTTAACTGCCATTTCTTATAGTGTGAGTGCTTGTCTTTGCAATGCTAACAGTCTTTTAACTCAGCTTCTGTGTGGTCTGTCTGCAGATAAACATTTGTGCATACGTATGCTGTGGTGTATGTACACGTACGCATAAATATATGTTTCTGTAACTGTGCTTAGATGAAAGTTTATGTTAGACTGCAGCTAGGAATAAGATTATTGAAAGTTAAAAGATTTTAAAAAATTATATTTTTACATGTTGCTTTGCTTCCCAAAGGGTTTACAAACCCAGTATGCTAGAGTTAACTCTAAGATATGTTGAAATGCATGCTTCAGACATGCAGCAATCTTAATAAAACCATACTAGTAATTGCAGTATTACTAGGATGTTTGCCTCTTTAGTTGTTCTTGCCCACCCCACCCATCACACTATTCAAAAAGGAGTAGTAACTTTGCAGGTCAAGTCAAGGGTACTTAGGAAAGGGTAGAGCACCACCAAATTTTGTTGTAAAATAGTTGTGCTCAGCACATGGTGAAGACTCTCATCATCTTTGGAGCAATGGGGGCTGGGAGCAAGGGAAGGGAATGTAGTGAAGTAGAGGAAGTAATCATCAGGGATCAGCAGCAGGGCTGTATAGGCATGAGGGTGCGTATGAAAGGATTAGAAGGAGGGAAACCACTGAAGGGATTCGAAGGAAGAGTGTTGCACGCAGGAATATCTTCAAAGAGAATAGACGTAATATCAAACAGGTCAGAGGTGGAGGTGGGGTAACTAAGAGGAGTTTCAGTAATAAAAGTGCTGCAAGCCGGCATGAGAATTCTGACAGTGGAAGTGAAAAGTTCCTCCATGGAAGTATTTGGGGGAGAGGGGGAAGTATGGAGTTTTGGGGTGGTTTTTTTTTTAAGGAAGCAAGATCCTGAAGACAGTGTTTCAACTTTGAAGGGGATGAAGTTTCAGGAAGGGTTCACTAGGTGGCTGTGGAGAAACAGTTACACCTTCACCTGGTCTAACTCAACAGTGCCTTTTTGAATCAGCGGTTGCAGACATTTACATAAATTCAATAACTGAATCGCCCATAATCCTGAATTGAAGGGACTGTTGTAAAGCCCAAGAAAAATGGAGTATAGTGGAAGACATCCAGGTCTGTTCAAATAATAAGCTTACTCATTTTGTGAGAAATGAACTCTGAAACCTCAACCATTCACATAGTTGTTGGATTTTACAGGAGAGCTTTTATTGCCATCTACTGGTCTAAATAGGCAGTTTGCTCTACTACAACATCCTTTCTAAGAACCATTTGGAAAATGTTTGCTTACTGAGAAAATATTTTGAAGAGATTGTTTCAGAATATTCCTTAGGCAAGCTTATCTTTGGCATGATATCAGACGAGTCTGTTTGTAGTTAGCTATGTTGGCATGCCAAGCTTTATGAAAGGAGGTTCATTTAAACATCTGGAAGCTGACGCACCCATAAATGCACTCCCAACACATGCTTCACTTTGCAGGAAATCAGCTCTAGGAACACACAGAGGGTTTTGTACGTGTGCTGTGCAGTGGGTATGTGTGCATGCACTTTAAAAACTGGAGTTGTCAACATTTCTTTCTACTTTCAACTTCCAAACTACATAAAATTGAGCGGGACTTGAAGAAAAACTTTCTCTTAATTAGTTCTTCAGAATTTCTAATTACTCCAAAGCCCAAAAAAATCAGCAGGAGAGCTTGAAACTTGGAGGCTTGATTAAATTAAGTCTGAATCAAGTCATTGACAAGGTGAGATTAGATTTTTTTATAAATACAGCTATGAAAATGAACGGCCCAGTTCTGTGTCTTTCTCAAGTGAGATGCCCATTGAATCCATAATCCCTTAATAAGATCTCTAGGATAAGTATCTAATTTCTCTAAACTCCAAAGCCTTTTATATATTTTTGTCTCTATTCAGTATGGAATTCCTAAGAGCTAGATTTTCAGTTCTTTTCTGGAGGCATCAATGCTGGCTGAAAAGTTATTGCCAGGCTGCCGTGTAACTCCAATCTGCAGAATGTTTACTTTTCATCAGATGAACTAGGTGTTTGTACAAGCACTCCCAGACTCCTGCAGATTTGGGGAGCTCAAAATGAGGAAGATCAGCAGTGACATTATTCAATTATTTAAACTCACTTCACTCATTTGGACTGAAAGAAATGGAAAGATGACCTGGCAGTGGTAACGGTTTCAGTCAGTACACAGGTGTCTACAGCCTTGCACCCACAAGTACACAAAAAGCTCCTCACACAATGATTAAATCTGAAGAAATAGCTGGAAAAAGATGTAGCAGCAACAGAAGGCTATTTTTTTAACTACATTTGCTGATTTGGAGTTTTGAACTGTATGTCATATACTGCCTTAAGATGACAGAATCATGGGGTTTTTCTTTTTGTTTTCCCAGCAGTTCTCGTGTTCATTCCTGAGACTACCATAGCCTGACCATCCTCGTAGTGGCCATTGTTTGCGGATCTTAACCAAAGCCTTTGTAGTCATTGTCACTCATGGTTCCTGTTTTTTGTCTTTGTTGTTCTCTCACAGCTACAAGCTCCCAGTGTGAAAGGCTTTGATTTTGCTAAGCAGCATCTTGGCCAGCACAATAAAGATGATGTCCTGATTATCCATGAGCCAGCTCCTTTACCAGGACCTATTAAGGATAGTACCCCATCTGAAAATGGAGAAGTGCCCAGCCCCAAATCCAAGACTTCCTCAAAGCCTTCAAAGACTGTTCGACACAGAGGGAGGTCAGTTCACAGAGATAAAACAAATTGTAGTAGATCTATGTACATAAACAAAATGTAGTTTATTAATGGCTGGTACTTACTGTATTTTTAGGGGAATTTCAGTGGAAAGAACTGTTCTAGAGCTCTGGGACTTGCGTTTTCTAGTGGGCCGTCAGTTACGCCTTGCTACTCATTAGTACAAGGTTGTGAAAATTTAGTGTCCATTTTTCTCTTAAAGGCAACATGCCCATTTAAGAGGGGTATGTAAGACACTACTAGGTGTTGGCTGGAGTCAAGTCATTGCTTGTTTAGTGGAAACACCAAGTGTATGTTTTCTGATGCATTCTCTTTGTAGTGATCTCTAGCTACTAAGAGGCAATGGGTGGTTAAAAACAAATGAAAACCATTGATGAATAGCAGTGTATTTCAATAATATTAATAGTGATCAATACATGTATGATAAGTTGGAATTTCCAGAAATAAGCAGTATCTCCAAAATGCGGGGAAGATGCATGAGTGCATTATTTGTGGTTATCTGGTTGCTTTCATAGCAAACCAGCTTTGGTCAGGAAAAGGAGTGGTACTTTACAGTTGTGCAAGTGGAGAAGTGTCTGTCAACCTTCGCACTAATTTTTTAACCTTTTCCAATAATCAAATTATGTGAATGTGTCTTGCTGGAAAGGATTGTGTTTGTAGGATAGGCACTATAACAGAGCTATGTGGTAAAGAAGGATCTGTGCATTAAAAAAAAAAAAAAAAGGTAAGTGGGAAAAGTAATAGGTGGGGAAAAAACGGAGCCCTGAGGAGAGGAGTGCTACGGTGAGTCACAAACAGCTCCTCACTGCGGAGCTCGTCTGTGTTCCACTTTCCAGTGATTCTTCCTCTCCTTCCCTCTCATATTTTTGCTCTCCTTTGTCTCAAGCTCTGCATCCCCTGTGCTTTTACCTATGTGCTATTGCATGGTGGGAGGGAATAAGAAACAACTAAGGGCAGAGTTGAATGAGCTTAGAAAGAAACTAATGGTGGTTCTTCCTGAGCTGCAGGTCTCTGTGACACAGCTTGCTCCTCTGCTCAACCTTCTGTACTTCCTCTAAAGCCCCAGTTGTCGTAAGATCCTCTCTTCATCTTCCCCACGTGGGCTTCGTGCAGCTCAGTTTCTACCTTTCCAGATGCTGAGCCTGTCTTCCTAACTCCCTATAGGCCTTGCAAGTAGTAGACTACCAGTAGTACAGTGGAAGGTGGGCAAAATTGGAAAGCAATGGAAGAAAAATTAGCTAACTCATTTGGTGTAGCTTAAATTAAAACAAATTAATACAAATCAGAAGGACAAGTGTTTCTGTGTTTCTTTTAAAAAGTTCAAAAGTGGCCTAAGACAGAGATGATACTTAAGGGGAGGGGAAGGTCTCTGTATTCACATGCACATAAATATAAGAAAGAAGTTAAATCTTGAGGCTGTTACTGTATTTCATCTAGAATAATTCAGAAAATGAAGCAGGAGAAATTTTGAGAAGCCAACATTTTAATGCTTCCCCTGAAGACAAGAATGAATCATTGATCAAATTTGGAACAAAGATATGTCTTTTTTTTTAACAGCATCTAAACTCAAACACTTCAAAATGTTTTCAAAAGAGAATTTCCCTCCTCTCCTTCATCCTCCCTTAAGAGCAAATCTCCCTTTAGGCTTAACTATGGAGATGTTACCATCATCTCCCTAACATGCTGACATGCCCATGTCAGCTTGAGATTTAAAACATTTATTCCCTAAGGCAGAAGTTGAAATGTGAAATGATAGCATAGTGTGTTATGTTGGTTTTAGCTGTTTTCTGTTTTGTGAGGAAATACAGAACTCGGTTCATCACAATGCAATTCAGGACTGTATGTTGCATGCCAGGAAATACAGTGGTGATGTGAGTACATGTTCTGTATCTGTAAAAAACAACAAACAAGAAAAACAACCGAGTTCAGAAAGCATGGCATCTCTAGGCTCCAGCTGAGAGTTGGACCTGTTGTTTTGGCTTGAGTGGATACAACTGCATATTCCTCAGCGCTTATAAAAAATGACTGATGTTGACTCAGCACTATTTATGTTCCTATAATTTACTTAATGATAATTTAGATAGACTGAGGAAAGAGTATGAAGGAATACAAAGCACAGTGAGGTGAAACAGAAAGTCAGTAGCAGATCTGGAAACAGAACTCCAGCCTTATACTTTGCTGAACCAAGACAAAGGTGATGGAGACGATAGGTCTGCCAACCCTCTTCACCTTCGAAAAGAGGAAAAGATGCAATGGTGCAGATCCGTAAGTTCATTGAGAACAATTTCTCCTTTTTTCCCTGCTAAATTTTTTTTTATTGGGATATGACTTACTAGTATTACAGTCCTGCAGAAAAGAATGAAAGACAGAGTTCAATTAACAGTGCATTGTTCAGGGAGGAGAAAAAGGGGAGTTGAATTTGGAGCATTGCCTGCTGCAAGGTGTAGGTTTAACTTTCAATCAACTTGTCTGGCTGGGTATAGTTATCTTAGTCTGTGTGCTCTAGGCAGGTTGATGTTTAGCCAAGAGCCTCAATAACTAGTTCAGATATCCATCTAGCCCAAGCAAATCTTGCACTTCACAAGGTTAATGCAGACACGTGCATACTTTCAGTGATTAACTCCCTGCAGGAACAGAATATGAATGTTCACAAGACAAAATGGTCGCTAGAGACAGTATCACAAAGGCTGATCCCATATGAAAAGACAGGCTTTGGTGTCAGCTGGGTGGTGGTGTACGCCCTATATTTTTACTGTTTTCATCCTATCTGAATAATTTTACAGCTGAAGTATTCTGTTGGGGAAAATCACAGTATTTCGTTACATTTTTCTCTAATCGCCCACAAAAATTATAAACACTGAGACTGTAATTTGTAGGTAACAAATCTTTAAGAATCTCATGACTGCATGGGATAAATACATAAAAGTAGCATTTTTTAATGGCCCTGTGTTTAACTAGTTAGGAAAATATTCACATGGACTTGTAGTGTTAGCAAGAGAACACCAAGTTAGCAAGTTAGAATAGAATAGAATATTTGACTAGTTCCTGTACAGGTTTCTTATTTCTAATATAATTCTTTTCTGTCTGAAAAGTAAACTGCTACTTATGAATGCAGAGTTTTTTCTTGAAATGTATTTTACAGGAAAGTTTAGTTAATAATCTTGTCATGTGTGAATCCTGTTGCAGTCAGTTTTCACATGCAACAATAACAACATCATGGCAATGAATATCTAACTATAATAATTTATTATAAATTTACTTATAAACAGAGGAAAATATTAGCAGTCTGCACAAGATACTTTAGCACAGGACTCACTGTGCCACTTTGCAAACTTATGTTACGTGTTGGTTTGTTTGGTTTTTAATATTTGTGGCAGAGTTTCGCCGTCAGATGCTGACTCCACAGCAAGTGAACAATCCAGTGGGAGAGAGACAGGAGAAGAAACTGCCAGACCATCAACTGTTGCAAACGAGGGCAAACCACGAAGAGCAGTGAAGAAGGGTTTGTTACTTTTTTTTTCCCATTGTGTGCACTAGCAGTGCTTTACTCAGGTTGAAGAGTTACTCTGGTGCTGTAACTTTTCTAAACTCGTCTTTGGCTGTTAGTTTTTCTGGTTTGTGTCAAAGAAAATTTTCTTCCTCTCCTTTTTGGTTTAGTTCCTTCTGTTGAAACTGAAGATCTACACATTCCTTTCATTCCAGCAAGCTTTTGAAACTAATGGCTTAACAGGAATGAATCTTCCCTCCTTTCCTCTCCCACACACCCCCAGCAAACCTCTTTCCATTTAGGCCTAATTGTGGCTCTGGTGGTAGCAAACTTGCAGACAGTTACATGGGCAGTAGAGGTCACAGCAGAACTTGATACAGCATGGGTATGCGTCTGTAACTGTAACTTCAAAAAAGTGAGATTAAAAGAAAGACACCAGGGAAGTGAAAGCTTCACAAATAAGTTCTAATTCAGACGTCAAAATGCCTTCATGATTGTGCTTTAGAAGGATGAAAATCCAGTGCTAATACGTTAATAACAGTGAAATTTTTTTGTAAAGAACCATCTTCCTTCCAGTTAAACTGCTACTATTTGTCTTAGAGGTACCCTAAGATATCTTTCTTTTCTTATCGAAAAGTTGATAAAACACTGCTTCATTTTTTAATTAAAACATTCTTTTAAATTCTTTTGCTGTTTAAAAGTGTGTGGTTAACTGCGCCTACACAAACACTTCACTGTTTCTTCTGAGACCCTCTTGGGTTTAGATGGCTTGCTCCTTGCTTGAGGTTTTCGTTACCAGATCTTTGCCTTAAATCACAATAGTCTTCCTAGAGAAAATTCTGATACTGAATATCTGGTAAAGGAATTTATGATATCCCCATCTGTTCTTAATACATATGGCCTTGACGGCAGCAGAAACTGAGAAAAAGAAAATATTGACCACATTGTGAGCAACCTCTTCGGTATATTGAATGTTTTTCCACATACTCTGTGAAATACCAGCTGAGGTGTAAAGGTGACTACTGAGGAATGCAGTGCCAGTGAAATTCAGATCATAGCAGACAATCTTTAGTTTTTGCTTATGTTGAAGAAATGAGACTGAGGAATATGTAAGGTAGTTTATATAAACTCCTCACTCTTGGGTGGCTAAACAGCAAGTTAAATTATGAAAGTTTGAGTCATACATTATGTGGACTACTCCTGGAAGGGCAAGGGTGATGGAGCAGGCTTTCCTCTGTAACAAACATGTAAGAAAACAAAGCACAAGATCTACTAATGTGACTAGAAAGTTATACTTCCTAATAATTCAGCAGGCAGTGTATGCTGTATGTACTTTACGCAATTTACAATAAGAAGAGACTGTACTGATGCTGTATGTTTTCAGTGCCTTAGGTTTGCTCTAAGGACTAGAAATCATGCCCAAGTAAATATACAGGAAAGTAATTATGCTATGATAGAGCTCATCTCAGGATTGTTTATGAGTTGCTCCCACCTATCTGACTTCAGTTCTGTTGCCCTGATTTAGTGCTCCCCCATTTCTTCTTACCTGGGAACTCCATTTTTGTCTCTCCATTTTCCGTCTGGCTTAAAACTTTATGTAAGGTTTAACATTTCCTTTTGGTGTAAAAGTGTTAGGTATTGCTGCATCTGAATTATCTGGCAAAAGCAGCAAGGATATTGTATAAAATGTGTCCTTTTTACCTATCATGCCCTTACTGGATCAAATATACTATTTTTTTAGCATTTGAAGCCTCTAGTTTGGTAATCATAGGGACTATTTTTAGCATTCAGAATTGGAGGCACTGTCTGCAGAGAGCTCTCTGTCTGTTAAATGGCAGATTCAGCTCCCTTTTTGTGCAGCTGAGGCTTGGCAGTTTGATCCAAGTTCATGCATTCCATTCAAAAGTAAATGCAATCATCTTACTGCTGTGGTTTTTTTTTTTTTTTCCAGTTGCCATTCCAGCTGAATTATTTGTAATAATTACTGTGTTGTCTCTTCTTTTTTCCTTTATGTTGTCAGGAGCAAACAGAGTGGGTAAGTAACTAGAGCTGGTAGTTGAGTACAAATATGAATAGAGCTGCTGGGGTAGCTGCAATTATATCTTAAGGATGGAAGGATTTGTCTTCTGAGTCTAAAAAACCAAAATTGCTTTTGAGCTACTGAAGTATAAAAATTCTCAGTAACACAAATTATAGTCATCCAATTTAGGCACATTTTTCTAATTTCCTCCCAATTCTTTCAAATTATTGAGGAAAACATCACTATGAAAGAAGCAAAACTGAGGCAGCTGTTGGTCCTGAAACTAGCTTTGTATAAACAAGTTAGAGATATTGTTGGAGTTAGTGTCTTTACTGGAAGCCTGAGACAAACACAAGCTACCTGCAAAGAAGCACAAATATTTTCTCATGAACTAGTGTTTTTCTGGTCAGGACTGAGACATAGCAAAGATGGGGCAGGAGAAAGCTGACACTGTCTTTGATAATGCATACCATATCTAGTGATAAATTAACACTCTGTCCTCTGATAGTTCCCATCTTACAATAGTAGAGAAGGATGGATATAAGGCTACCTATGATGCTTTCCATTGCTGGGTTTGTACAAGTAACTAATGAGAGTAGTCAGCTGCATCCTGGGGACATGATCTACTGGGCTACAAAGAAACTGTGTGAAATTTGTCTGAAACGGCATACTCTGGCATGATTCCAGTACCAGTGGGTCAGTGGAAGATTCCCACTGTCTTTAGCTGATTTTGGATTAGGCTTTATGCACCTTAGTTGCTGTGTGTCTTTTTTTTTATTGTTTCAAGAGGATGCAGGAAGCAAGAGCCTTCCTCTATCTCCAACTGTATTGGTTTTCATATGAAATCATAGCTTCCTGCAGAGCAATTCATTTTCCTGACATTTCAGTTCAATTAGTAGTTTCAACCCAGGGAACAGTGATGAACGTTGATCCTGACATGTGACCTATATGGACTAGTTGTTAAAATGTGTTCTGTCCAGTATTTGGGTATTAATTCCTCTCCATTATTTTTCAGCCTCAGCTGTCTAGTCTGAGATCAAAATTTCATTCATGTAGGGCCATTTGGTAGCTTTATAAGGAAGATTTTCTAACCATGGACAATAATGTAATAGAAGAACTTTGAAATGAGAAACCATTCTTATTCACTCTGTCAAAACTTCTAAAGGAGCTCATTCATGTGTTGAGTTAGAAACCATTTCTTCTTTTGTTGTATGTGTATAGCACAGTGCAGTTCCTGGCTTTCTTATCTACTTTACTATACTTCCATCTTGGTTTGTATTTATAGACACATTCAGTGTATGCACACAGGGAGGATTTAAAGGTCAGATGCAGCTTACGGGGTTTTTGTGTGTGTGTGTGTGCATCTTTTCTGCAAAAGAGAGTAACATATGATGTTACTGTAGACCCTTACCAAAATTTGACAGTGGAACTTTTGGAGTTTTACAAAATTAGTTTAAGAACAGTTTCAGCTAAGAGGCCTCTGCCAAGCACTTGTTTATGTGTGCAAAAGGAAATGTTATGGATGAAGTTATAAAGATTCAGAGTGAGCGCTCAGCATAACTGAATATATTGGACCTTGCTAACCAAGTAATGTGATAACCACCTTAAAATCTTATGTTGGAGGTCAGCAAGCTTTCAGAAGTGCTGTTAGACTGGAAAGGTTGGAAAAATGACTAATGTACAGGGAAAACTGGAAGGATGGATGCAGAAGTTCAGATTTCCATTGCGCTACAGGATTGCTCTGAGGGATTCACACTAACTACTTAATATATCTTGTGCCCCTCTCTGAGAGGTGATGCTTGCATGCTTCTAAGAAATGCATGAAGATGGGGCTGTGAAGATGACAAGTGTTAAAGATCATACATATATGTATACATATACATATATAAAGATCATACATACAAATAGCTACAGAAGAGAGATAGATATATTTCATTTAGGCTCTGTGTCTTGCAAAACATTTGGGACACAGATCTTGAGTGGAACTGTTTACTTTCTTTTTAAGGACACTTACACAGGAAAGTCACATTTATAAATGATGCATAACATTTATAAATGTGTTCATTTGACAGGGCATTGATCAAGTTTGAGAAATATGAGAGGTAAGATTTTTGCTTAGCTTGTGGCCAGATTGCTTTCCAGCCCAAAAGTAACGTGCTGCGAACATAATAAAGTGTACCATTCCTTCCCTCACCTGCTGCCTTTTTGTGCTAGAAGAGGGAAGCAAAGGAACAAGCCATCTGCTGTGATCTTTTACAGAAGATAGCATTCACTACTCTTCTAAACCCTATACTTCATTACCAGCATGTGTAGCAAATGGATCAGAGCAGTGGCTATTTTCTTTTCCTTCTTGTCTGTTGGAGTTTGATCAGGTTGATCAACAGTTGATTCTGTATCGGAATCAAATCAGATTCTCCTTCTGATTTGAATCTGAGAACCACAGCCTGTTACTAGAAGTCTGTGCAAGGGTATGGAACTGTGTCCCTCTACTCTCCTATATTCCTCCATAAGTAGAGTCACAAATCTTAATCTCTTATTGCTTGTATTTCATGGTGAAAAGCAGTTTAAGAGTTTGTGGCGTTACCATGTGGACAAGACAAAAGATTATTTTGCAAGTCTTCAATAGTTTTTGCAAGCCTAATCCACGTAATGGTTCCTGTTGTAGGCCTAGCTCCAGCAAAAAAAATACTTAAATATGTGCTTAACTGCAAACTACTGGGGTGATCCTGCAGATTTCAAGTCTTTTGAGGGAGATGACCCATTTCTTTTGAAGTGATAACTGTTGGCAGGACCAGGGCCGCAACTTCCGTGTGTATTGGTTTCCATAATGTCTTTTGCTGATCATATTTGAGTTAATTTTACCTCTTCAAGAAATTACAACATGGCAACATTTGTGTGTCTTGCTTATTACTATGTGAACTGTTTATCCTGTCCCAGAGAAGAAAACAGTGCTTTAAAAGCTTTAATCTGTAAAATGTCTGTAAAATTCTGTGATTTCTGTGGATTTCTAAGGGGTGTTTTTGTTTAGTTCATATATCACTCCTTCTATCACTTAAGAACTACATTTTGTAGTGAGACATCTTTTATTGCTCTTTGAACCTCCATTTGAGGAATTTGCATCTCCTTAAGTACTGATAAGAGGAACCATTACCAGTATGTACTTTAACAGCTTTTTATGGAGTAAAGTAGATTGAGATTTTGGGGGGTTTGCAAATGCCAAGAGCTTGATTTACAGAAATAAAGAATGACAGCTCACCTTCTGGAAATATAATGGAAAAATGTTTATAATTTGCAAACCACTGGGTAAACTTCTTGTACACTAAATGTGAATCAGCTGGAGGGCCTATAGGGCAAATTAAACACAGATGGAAAACATGGCATAGTCTTGTAGCGTAGCATCTGTAGAGCTTAACATTTGACTGAGATAACCCTAGCAGCACTACTTTACTCTGTATTTGTTCTGGTGATTTAGGACCTCCTCAGACCAGCAGTGGAAACGAGCAGCACTCCTCAGCCTCTATCTTTGAACATGTGGATAGAATGTCGCGTTCCTCAGATGCCAGCAGACGGGTCCCAAGCAAGATCCAGCTGATTGCTATGCAACCGATGGCAGCACCTCCGGTTCAGAACTCAGTGCTTTCTGATCGAGTAGCAGAGACCAACAAAATTAATAAAGAGGTATTTTTAAAGTGCTTTGAACGTTTGTGGAGAAGTGAAGAGAGAAATAAAAGTATCCAGTTTCTTGTTATCAGGAGTTCCTTGTTAGTACCTGAGGGGTTGAATTTTGACAAGTTACACAAATAATCCTGTTTCTGTCCAGAGAGATAATCTGACCTGTTTTTAAGAGATACCTAAACCAAAACTTAAACACTGAGAGAGGAGCAAATTTGATGGTCAGGATACCTTGTGTTACCATCCTTTTGCTAGTCAGCAGGACATGACTTACAAGAGTTGTGTTAATTACTGTGTGAGAATTGGAATGTCTGGCCCACTTTAGTTTTCATTCTACACCATTCTTTTGACTTTTCATCAGCTCAGGATGTGGGTTATACAAACCAGTTATCTCAAGACATTCTGGGATGTGAATTTGCAGTACATTCATTGCTTCCAACTTCTGATGTGTTTGTCTGACAGTAAGCATACGAAACTTCCTGCTTTCTCTGGGGCTTACTTTAGTATAAGCAGAATGTGAGCATGCCAGGGGCATTAGGAGAGAAGGTAATGCACTGTAAAACCACATCATACACTGCCTGACAGTACCATGTACCTGCATCCTGGTTTTGTACTGGGTGTAAGGCGGCATCTTCTCATGATTCGGAGTGGAAGATTACTGAAACCTTTAACTTAACTGTGTTAAGATACTGTGTTTCTAAGTACCTTATGGGAGAGAGGTAAATACCTATATCTAGTAAACATAGGCAAGAGGTGCCACAAAACAGAAATCTGATTATATGGGCAGAAGATGTATAATTCTAACTATAAATGTAAACAGTAAGTCTGGCTTGTGTCCCTTTTAAGCTTTTTGGGGATTTTCATAAGAGAATACACAAAAATCAATTTTTATTTAGTTTTTAATTTACTGCTGCAGATGTGTTCCAGAACTAGTCCAGCACAGGAAGAGCAGTTGTTGCTACCTAGTCTGGTGCCCAAGTGTTTTCTATTGATAAGAATGATTTCCATGAGTGTTGGGCCAGGACTTAAAAGTGTGATGTTACGATAGCTTTCCCCAGATGATGAGGTGCACTCCGGGGAATTTGAAAAAAAGGTGGGAGAGAGGCATGAGAACTCAGTCTGCAAGAAGACGTAGAGCTGATAATGCCACGTTCATCTAGGGACCTGGGCCCTTGTACTGCTACTGTGTTTCTGCGTAGCTTATGGTGGCCCCTCGTGCTCAGCAGAGGCACCAGGTTATGAGCCTAGTTAGCTCTTAAGTTCTTGCTTCTTACATGATGAAGGTCATTAAAGGGAATGGGTGACAGACTTCGCTGTTGATCAAATGTACCTCTGACAAGCAAAGGTAGATACAGCCTGTACTGGTTAGTCTTATTTTTTCAGAGCAGTGTCACTTTTGGCAGACAGCAGGAGTTTTTTGTGTTCCTCCTGCCTTTTGTTATCAAACTGCCATCTCTCCTCTAATTGCACCTGCTGTGCTGGCAATCATATTGTGTATGATAGTACATCTACCTGGGGAGACAATGGAGATGCTGCAAAATACCCAAGAAAGAAAAGTGTGTTTACAAATTGTGTGACTTATTTTAATCCTTCAGAGATTTGGGGGAGGGAGCGGCAGGCAGGGAGGAGAGGAGGAGAGTTTTATGGAAGAGCAGTAAAAAGTTCTGTTTTCAAAAACTACAAATGAAAAATGCAGGGTTTTTTGGTTTTTTCCCCCCCCCCCCCCCCCCCCTTCCTTTTTTAAGATACAAACAGCCCTGAGGCATAAATCTGAGATTGAGCATCACCGCAATAAGATTCGTCTTCGTGCCAAGCGCAAAGGGCATTATGAATTTCCAGTGGTGGATGATGTGGTGGTGGTTGACTCCAAAGAACAGCACAGAATATATCGCAAGGCACAGATGCAGATTGACAAGATCTTGGACCCTGGAGGCAGTGTGCCTACTGTCTTCATAGAGCCCAGGAAGAGGTAGGATCTCAAAGGTGGGAAAGAACAATTTTCTTTGAGTAAGCATCCAAAGTATGTCAAACCTGTACTTCTGGACTTCCAGAGCTTAAAACTGTTTTGATCCCTAGTTGAATTTGAGTTACCTAGGTGAAAAGGTTTGGATTGTTCTCAACATTTTTATTTATTTCAGTATATGCCAGTATGTTTTGTTTTCAGATTGTTCTTTGACAAGTTCTCGGGGTGAATTCTCAATAAATATGCCCAAATGTATGAAAACTGTCTTGAAACAATTTAGTATTTGCTCTGCCATTTGTTTGAATAATTCTTGTGTGGTGTAGAGGGATCAAAATTGTAATATAAGCACTAAAAAAAGAAGCATGGAAAATATAAACTGCAAGAAAGAATATTTTTATAAAGGGGGAAACGATGCAAAATAAGGAAACCCTTGAACAACTTACAAAGCATGAAGATCCTGAATTTTAAAGGCAAATTCACAAATCAATGAGATAACCTTTTACATATTCCCTCTGGGTAATGAGGCATGTTTGTCAGCCTCACAGATCTGCCTTCCTGATGTTATGTCTCCAGAGAAGGTCTTCCCTGGGCTTGGTTTAGGGCTTACAAATACTGGCATTTTGTTCCTGGAGCGCTGGTACCTTGTGACTGCTTCGGTGCTGATAGTAGCTTTCCCCAATGACATGGGTTCCTCAGCTGGTTTGCCTGGTAGGGTTAAACCCAACATGCCAGGCGCAAAGCCTTGTTGGCAGTGTGGTCTGTTCTGCTACTGAAAATGTGTCAGACATCGGTTTGGGAGGCCTGGAGAGGCACTGGCAGGGGCTGGAGCACGGACAGCTTTGAAAGATGAATGTAGAAGGAGAGTGACACTGGAGAGAGTTTGAGGGAGGAAGGGAACAGTTTGAAGAACTGTCAATGAGAGTCTTAAGAGAAGCTTGAGGAGAGAGATTCAAGGCTAATGGGACTGGCATGAAAAACGGGGAAAGAGAAACAGGGCTGAGGCAAGGATGACCTGGAGGGAATGGGCAGAGGAGTTCAACCTTGAGTGGGATGAGAAGAAAAATTGTAAAAAGAAATGTGATTACCTTTGTCTTGTTTGTTTTTTCTTTCTGTCTTCTTTTTGTTTTCTTCCTGTTAAGTTCTCGTGCAAAACGTTCTCCCAAGCAGCGCCGGCGACATCAGATAAATGGTAGTCCTATCGATGCGGAAAAGGACAGATTAATCACAACTGACAGTGATGGGACATACAAAAGGCCTCCAGGAGTCAATAACTCTGCATATATTGTATGTATGTCTCTTGAATGACAGGAGTGCTCTGATAATTGTAATGACAGTTGTGACATGGGGAGGTTTTTGGCCTTCTGACTACGGTCCATATAGCTAATTTCAGTCACATGTAGTTAACATGTAAATCAAAGTGAAACAAGGATTTCATTGGCGGTCTGTCAGTATTGAGCAGTAAAATTCTGCCAAGTATTCCTTGATAATCAAGAGGCCAAGAACCAAAACCTTGTTTTCATTAACACCACTGTACTATGCACATGAAAGTGCTTGGCATGTTCCACAATATGTTGAACATAGTTTCACTCTAGTCCAATTTGCTGGATGTTATATATTTGTATGTTACAGAAAATTTCATCCTTTGCTCTCACAGAGTGGAAGACTCAGTTCCTTTCATGAGAAATTTTCTCATCTTTAAAATGTGTGAATTAATTATTAATGAAAGAGGAAGCATATCTTTGTACTGCAGTAACTTGAAACAATTCTAGTACAATGTCTTGAAAATTAACTTTCTTTCCTGTCTAAAAATGGCAAAGACACTGCAGAATGCTTCTGTTCAATCATATCCATGCCACAAACTGTATTTAGGCATCTTTAACCACTTCTAAGCAGACTTTACTAAGTCTAATGCTAATATTGGAAACCCCTGGACAGTTTTTGTCTTGAAAGATGGTTTAATAATTTTAAGAATTTCACCATTAGCTGCATATGCAGTCAAGTGACTACTATGTCGACTTCTGCGGTTTCCCTCTGCCTTCAAACAAGAGTGTGATGATTTTAATGTTATGCTGCAGCAGAATGAATTATCATCTGAAGCTGTTTAATTAAGATGTGTCACACAGCAAGCTCAGTCCCTTTGGCATCTGTAGTGAGACAGTACTCAGAATGCTGAGTTCCTGATGCTTTTGCATCTTGACGGCTGATTTTGCAGTCTGCATGCAGTGGTAAGAATGAGCTTTGATAATAATTCTGCTGCTGCAAAACTCGTTTAATTTCCTGTTACTGATGAACAATAAGCCCATGTGGTTAAGATCCCAGGTAGTAATTGCGATGCATGCCTCAGGTATTACTGCTATGAGGCACTTACATTAATCCCATTCAGGTGATGCACCCAAGTTCAAGTTCTATGCAGCTAACCACTTAGTTGCTTAACAGCTCCCTTTGTGTTTTTTTCTAGGAGGTAGTAATTGTTTAATATTAGTGCTGATGTGGTCAGTTGTAAGCTAAAGACTGAATTAATTTCTTGGAACTGCAAAAGCTGCAGAGATGTCAAAGATGTAGACAGAGCTGATTGTCTTTCTCTGGGTAGAGTAAGCGCTCTCTGCCTGACTTCATTACATGCTTGCAAACCACAAGATTTCTGTTATAGCCGAGTAATTCCTGCACAAAGTTCTACTGCCTTGCCTGAGATCAGAGTGTTTCAGATTACACCGAATGAAGTGTTTGACCAGCCGGTGTCATGCATTACATGCATGCAGAAGTGGGGAGGGTAAGGGGCAGGTTTTGTCTAGCACCGGCACTTGTGCCATTTATCTCATTGTGGTTCTAGCAAAGAAAATGTCACTAAGGCTTAAGGCCCACAGGGGCTTGGAAGCTGGCTGGTTAGATCTTCTCTCTGGCTGCCCTTCACCTTCTTTCTGTTTCCTCCAGTCTGATCCAGACTTGCCTCCTGAACCTCAGACATCATCTTCAGCTGATCTGGGGAAGTTCCCTGGCTTGCCTTCCCACCCAGTCTCCCAGTACGTCCCACCACAGCCATCCATTGAAGAGGCTCGGCAAACCATGCACTCGCTGCTGGATGATGCTTTTGCGCTGGTGGCTCCCAGCAGCCAAGCAGCCAATTCCACGGCCGTCACACCACCCGGGGTCTCTGCAGGACAGCCGGTAAACAACACTCCTGCTCGAGCAGGGAGGGGAACTACATGCACCCAGTGGGGATCACCTTATGGTCCAACTCAGGCAGTAAACAACCCATTTAATGTGAGTGATGCAATTTAAAAGGCTTTTCTGGGCAGGTAGTTAGCACCAGTTGAGCCATGGTCACTGTTACTTTGCCCTTGTTTATCACAATCAGGACTTATCACAAATGTGGAACAGTTTCTGGAGCCAGGAGAATTCAGAAATAACTGTCACAAGATGGTGAACTTGCTTTCTAAGCTGTTTGAGTTCTTTTTCCTTTTCCCATCCCAACCACAAGAGAAGATAGGAGTTTTCCTCCTTTAGGATAACTTTTCTGTTCTTCTCAGTTATGATCTTTCACAGATTAGTCTTGTTATGTCCAAGAGTAAAACTTTATGTTTTTTTAAAATATATATGCTAGTTCGTGTTTTGACAATGAAGAAAGAATGTACTGGGCTTGGGTCATATTTTTCAGCAGGGCATCCGAATGCTTTCAGGAGGTGAGGAATAAGGAAGCAGTATTTCTATGTATGATTTTTTGCATTTTATGGAGCACTGAGACACATGGATGATCTTTTAGGTCATCTTGAGTTCTACAACAATTCAGTGGAACTTTCATAATGCCATTGGACTGTTGAGTCTGAGCCCCGTGGTCTCTCTGCTGCGGTCTGATGCTGGTTAAGGCATAAAGAGATTTCCAAATGGAAAGCTTGGTTTGCTGAAACTTTTAAACTAGGTAGACATTGGGGCAGCCCTTGATCTTCTGCAAGTGAGAGAAAGTATTTTTGAAAGGTTTTTAAGTAAAGACTCTGGTCACACATAAAAGACTGCTAGCCCACTGTAGCAGTGAATCGCAGATCTTCTTGTGCTGCTGGGTTTGTAAAACTAAGCTCTTATGTCTGCAATGAAGTCACATGTATAGTGTGTATAGGCCTAGTGATCTCTGCCATTCATCACTTAAAAGGCTGACAGTGGAATTCCCAGGGTATGCATTTTGATTTTAATTTGGGTTGTTTTTTTTTTCATTCTTCTGACAGAGATATGTGGAATTTGGAATGACTCCACCAACAGCACCAGGTCTCCTACCAAGGTAGCTTTTCACTGACAGAATTATAATTTATTATTTTCCATGCAATTCCTCCAGAGTTCTTACTCTCAGTGGTATATTATTATGCAAAGTACCGTATCAATGAGAAGTAACAGGTGTCCAGATACAGCCTGTGTAATTTATTTATGTCGCATGAATGACATATGCATGCTGTATGGAATCCAAGCCTCCATTTAAAAGAAATGTGTTTCTAGCCCCTTGGCTATAGAGATATCCTTCCAAATACTGAGTAAACCACTGAGTTTCAGCTTTTGGAGAGCCTGAAGCAGTTACTCAGATGCAAGTAATTCTCCCAATACTCTTGCTTTCATCTTGTTTCTGTAGCCTCAGGGCAACAGGCAACACTCACTTCCAAAAGCTTGCAGATGACTAAGATTCATTCTATTTTTAACCAAGTTGAAAACAAATTACAGAGCATGGTGACCCTCGCAGAGAAAGAAAGCCTGCCTTGCAGGCCTATTATAAAATCAGGGGGGAAGAACAAATTTTCCATCTTCTCCTGGCCTTGCTGTGGGAGAATCATGTAAAGAGAAGAAAACAGCTGCCCGGGTGACTGTTAATTCTGCATTTGGTGTCTGTGTTTTAACTACACGTGAAGTTGGACTCTTGAGTCGTGGTACCCACTGTGGTCAGACTTGTCTCACCCTCTCCAAGATGCTGCAGCCAAAGTAGTAAAAAGGTGGTCTCGTGCTGCTCTCTTTACCCTCTTACAGCTTACCATGTGAGATGAAATCCCACTGGTTATCAGTGTCATTCATTAGATTTCACCTAAAGTCTTCACTGACGTGGAAACTTGGTGGTAAAATGGATATGAAGAACTTTCCTTTACCTGTTGTTCTGCAACCTGATTTTGAAAGGACCATCTAGAAAAGGAGGAGTCTCTAAGCACATTTTCTTACTTAGGTCTTGGCTGAAGGTGACAGTTTCAGTGTGTGTGGAGCATATGTGAAATGGCACACAGTACGACATACAGTGTATTTTTGGTAATTTAGGTTACCTTGATTTTGAGCTTTGAGACTGCCAACAGAAAGCCTAACCAATTGCTTATTTTTGAGGATTTTCTCTTTCTTGGCCTGTTATGCATTCAGGGAAAATGTGATAAATTAATTGTGAAAATGCTGTAACCCATGTTAATATATCTGAGCAAGATAGTGTCTTTACAACACACTTTTGTTCAAAATATCAACCTTTGGCATAGACACTCTGGATTTCCGTAAGTTACAAATTAGTGGCATCATTATTAATAGTTCAAATGCTGGCTCTGCCAGTGCTGGCAGATTAAGTTAACAATCTGCAAGTTGTTGGCCTTAAACAGGAAGAATTCCTTTAAATTTTCATTAAAATAGAAGGTTTCCTAAAGCTTGGTCAATAAAAAACAAGGAAAGAGTTGTCGTGGTTGTGGAGTGGGGGTTATGCTCAAATTCAGAAGATAATGATAAACAAATTGATAGAGACAGTGCACCAGTTAGAGGAAGGAAAAATAACCTCAGGTTAGTAAGATTAGGTGCCATGTATCAATGTCATAGTCCATTGGCTTAAGTATCCAATGCATGGAATAATAGTTGGGTGACCGTACTGTTCCCTTCTCTGTACAAATGCAGTCAGGATCTTTAATGGGGTGGAACCAACCTGGGTAACAAAAAAAAAATAAATAAATGTAAAAGACCTAGGTCACGTAACAGCTAGGCAAACATAAAGGCACAATGAACAGCTTTTACCAGAAAATGAATATTGCATCATGCGGCAGAGATAGAGATACTTAGCCATAGTGGATTAGTGGTGTAAAATTGATTTTTGGGGCGGTATCTCCCCACTTAATTAAATAACTGGAGATTAATAATTTTTTTGAATGTGCAAAGATAAATTGAAGGCTGGGTCTCAGTCTGGAAGTAGGAAGGAGCACTAGAAAGCTTGCATGATATAGATTCAGAGCTGTATCCTTATACTCTTCTGTTGATCTCTGACTTTAAAGAGTAGCTGTATCTATCTATTGTAAAGAAGATTGAGAAGAGAGAGCGTGATGGGTTATTAAGCGTGCACCTTTCAAGTACAAACCCATCAGCAGTAAAGGATATACTTCCTGTCCTTTGAAAAAATGGCACAAAAATAATGAATTTGCAGTAATGTTGGGAAAATATATTCCTTAGACAATGTCAAAAAATTGTAGTAATTTATCAGCTACAAGATTTCCAGCTCAGCATTGCAGGCATAAAGGGCCAGATGATCACATACTTTACTGGTTACAGTGATTAACATAACAAAAGTGACATTGTTAAACATTACCTACCCATTCAGGCATTTATTTTAACTAGCTTATGGGTCTGGCTGGAAATGGTTTCCTCTGGATCTGCTGAGTGGACAGGTGGGATTGTATGCAAGGGAGCTGGGGAAATTCTGGCACTTCCACAATGGGATTGTTGCGGCTTGAACCCCTTATACCTCCTCCATTTAATACTGCATGCTTTAATTTACAATTACTTGTTTGTGCTTTATTGGGCTCTTATGTAGCTTTATTAGGCTATCTATTATTATGTCAACTTTCTTTGCTATCTGGCTGTCATACAAAGGTGGTTAGTTTTTCAAATAAAGCACAAATCAAGAATAGTTTGAATTAGATGCAGTCACGGGATTTTACTGTTTAAAAAAAAAAAAGTGTAAACTGAGGTCTTGAGGAATGGGATAGGTTGCAGTCCATAGCCAAGAAGGGCTTAGATGCCGTTGTGGTAAAAGGCATGTAAAACTCATCCCTAGTCCTCACTTTGTGTAATTTCATGTGCCTGACTTAGGATGTTTGTCTCACCTTGCTTCCTTTATACTCACCAGTGAAAGGCTCCTGCAGAAAATGATTCAGTGAACCTAATCTTTTGCTTTGAATGCCTGTTGAGGAGCGTGTCTCTCTTGTTTGACCATACCTGGAGTCAAGAGAGACTAGCCGAGTAACCTAAGCACCTGAAGTTTGGGCATCCGCACTTCCACCATATTGACAGGAATCAATAATCCTTGGAAACTCAGCTGCCATCAGTCTTTTAAAATATAATCTCTCCATGCCAGGGTTCAGATATGTTAATAGAAAGCACAGGAAAAGCAGCCTTTCCATCTCCTTCTCTACTCCTGTTCTGTGAATGAATTATAGGGTTTCTTTTACAAGTCCCATTACGTTGGCACAATTAATGAAGTTAGATTGATGACAGTTTCTGTTAACTCTTTTCAGTAAATATATAAGAACAATGACTACCAGTGCCAGCCTGAATTATAGAAAACATTAATTTTAGCATACATTGCATTTCTTCATATGTGCTAATGACAGCTTTGAGTAGTTTGATGAATCTTAAAGAGCAAAGTTTTGAAAATTTCCTGAAAAATTATCAGAGTGCTTGATGAAATGTAAATGTAAGGCAGTTTGTATGGTTTCATTTAGACCAAAACTGTGTGCCCAGAAACTCTTGAGTAAGAATCAGGTTTGTCGCTAAGGTAAGCAGCTATGTCACTACTGAAGTCTTTTCTTTTCCTTCTTTTCCTTTTCCTTTTCCTTTTCCTTTTCCTTTTCCTTTTCCTTTTCCTTTTCCTTTTCCTTTTCCTTTTCCTTTTCCTTTTCCTTTTCCTTTTCCTTTTCCTTTCCTTTCCTTTCCTTTTTTTTCCTTGAAGATGCTTTTTTCCCCAAGGGGAAAACAAGGTCTGTGGGAGACTGCAACATGTGAAAAACACTTGTGTGAAATTTTGTTAGAGTTTCTAACTCCTATTCCTGTGCAGTGCAGGTCATGAAGGAGGAATATATTCCTCAGATGTAATTTGCTTTAACATTAAGGTTAAAATGTACATTAAAAGACATCATAAAGGGTTGTTGTATGAGGTACACCTGCATTACTGCTTCTAATTAGGCAACTCACTTATTGTAATCATGAGTCCTTACTTTTCCACAGGCAGAACTTTGGGCCAGGTTTTCTTCAACCTGCGGAGTTAATGCACCCGGACCAGCAGCCACCTGAGGTTCAGTATTCCTCCAGAGGGATATACTCAGAGGAAGTGCCATCAGTGGCACGGCCACGACCAGTTGGAAGCACTGCAGGTACACTTCACTTTAGTTGAATATGCTCTAAAATAACTGATCCTTTCCCATATCTACTCTTACACTGAGGTCACCATTAAGACGTCATTCTCCTTCAGCTACTACACTTGAAAAGTGGTCCTTGTCTTCACCGACAAAAAAAAGTGATCACAAAGTGAGGTTAACTTTAGATCCATAGGACCTTGCAGAAGGCGGCAGTGCTTTGCTACCTTTTTTAGTATCTTACAAGCATTGGTTATCACACAGTGTATTTGCAAAAAAACCCATTCTTTAAGGATGGAAAATTACTTAATTGTTTTAGAGCATACAGTGTATGCTAACTTTCCACTGCCGACTATTTCTTTTGTGCTAATGAGCTAACTGATGCATCCCAAAAGAAGCCTGCTAAATAACAATTTTTTAATACTTTTCTGTATCTTTATTTCCCATTTCTCTTCCTAGAAGTGTATGCATAAAAACAGGATCTTTTAGCTCCTGGTGATATTATCTATTGCCGCTGTCCCATATGAAATCGTCTTCCCTGATTTGGTTGCGAGATAATTTCTGTAGCACTCATCAATGCTATCATGAACAAGATTCTAACATCAAATGGCAATTAAGCAGCAAACACTGATTCTGCGAATTCAAATATTCTATTGTTGTGCAAATGCCACAGTTAATTTTCTCCCAGAGAAATGTTTTCTTCTGGGGAGTTGAAAAAGACTGGAAATGCGATCATATACTCATGTCAGAGTCCTAGTTTTGATAGCTGCTATCCTCTCCCTGTAAATGTTAAATGAATGAGAATGACAGGGATGTAGTGACTGTCACAGTTTAATGATTATTTTATTGTCTGATTCACACTATTCTCTAAATGTTTATGTATATTCTGCTTTAAAGTTTGGAGGCAATTAGATGATTAGTTCCTGTCCTTCAGCATAATTATGTGCAAATATCAAACTTCTCAAATATTGGTGTTTTTTGAGAGGAAAATATGAAAGTGACCTAAGTGTCCATCATGTAAATCACACTGTTTTTGTCTTTTCCTGCCTTTTTGTACACACACATATATATGCACGCACGTGCATGCACACACAGTTTTCTCTTATGTATCTGTGGGTTTATTATATGTGTTTAATTTCTAATAAATAAGGAAATATAATAATAATAAAATAAATTTTGTTTCCCTGTGGGAGGAAATTCAGGAAAAAGGAAAGCTGGCATGTTGCTACATGTCCCTTGCAATTAATGGTGGTGGCTATCCTTGCATGTGTTTGAAAGCAGCGGGAGGGGAGGGAAGGGAAAGGAGGAAGTTAACTTTCAGGCTGAAAGGAGATACAGTGTGTTCTGACCTTCTTGTTAGTCAATGACAGCATCATTTAATATTTAACCACAAAGCACAGCTGAAAGAATCATACTCTTACTTAGTCATGTATTTTGTTCTTCTAAGAGATGGAATAGAAGGCAGTCTGGAGAGTTAGGGTCTTGCCAGTGTGATGCAAATAAGGTGTACCACAGGAGCAAATGTCTTCTCTTTGCTGCTAAGTAATTACATGAAAGCATTGCCAGGGCTTTCAGTAAACGCTGTTTGGAAAGGGCTGGCATATTTTTGGAATGAAGTGTAATCCATGTCTGAGATGCATGTATCTCAACCTCTTCTTTCAGTGCAGGGGCAATGAAAAGCATCACACTCAAATGAGCTGCACAAAATGCACATAACTTCTCCTTCTTTATTCTACACTGACAGCCTTCTTTCTGCTGATTTTTTTATTAATTGCACAGAAACAAAGCTCTACTTTCTTCTTGTCTCCTGCTTCCAACAAAGTTTTATGTTGTCATTTGTCTGCCCTACAAACTTGATTGTGTATAAAGATGAAAAAACAATATTTGCTTTTAAGGTTCTCAGATACAGCACCTCACTCAGGTGGGAATTGCTAGCAGGATCGGAGGTCAACAAGTGGAGATCCCCTCAGGCAGAGCAGGGCATGGCCAGCCGGGGGGGCCAGGGTGGCCCCAGTACCGTGGAGAGGATGAATATGCTAGGCGAGATGCAGTGAGTACTGTGTTACACATTTGCATAGTTTCCAAAGTAGTGATATGTTCGGGTATTTTTTTTCCTGCATTACTGTTTGGAACTTTTCCCCCCTGGAATACTTTCAGTTGCTTCTCTGACATCTTTTGCTTTGCTCTTCAAACCCTCGTTAGCTCTTCTAACTTTTGCTTGCTCTTCTTTCACCTTTGCTTCTCTCTAACTGCTTTCTCTCACTTTACCCTAACCTTTTTTTTTTTTTTTCTCACTTGAGGCCTTCACCCATTAATTGCAGTTCACTCAGTTCTGCTTCTGAGCTCCTGCAGAGGTGGATGCTGCTTTCCACTTTCTTCTTTGAAATATGCCTCTGTATTTTGAGATCATTGTAAGTAGAAAACATTGAATTAAATTGTCCCAGGCTACCGTCCTACTTTGTATTGGAATAGTTCTTTTGTCTTCTGTATCGTGCGCAACAGCAGGAGTCAGGGCAATAGAATAAGGTACATACTTGCGCATCAGAATAGAGGTGTTTCTAAACAAGTTATTTTCCTAGCCTCAGTTAGCAGGATGTGGTAAATTAATATGCATTCGTTTACCAGTGTTGTCTAGGCAGCCATTGTGATTTTGTGTTCCTGGCAGTGGTGCTTCTAAAGGTTGATGTTTCTGATTCAGCCAGATGTGTGAGGTTGAAGATTGTATATGGCCTTTCCAGGAAAGATACAGTTGCCTGCTACCAGTCCATGTTTGATGTACTTGCATCCTGAAGCAGACTGACCTGTGACAGCTTTATTGTAGTACTCTTCAGAGCGACAACATTATGCTTCTTCTCTTGCTCCTTTGCTTAAACTGTCATTTTTCTGGTTTCTTCCTTGAGGGAGGAAGGAAGGATCTCCTACTTTTGCATACTTAGGGCAGTGTGTGTTCCCACTACGTGAAGTTGCTTTGCAGTATTGCATGATCTCAAAATGACTTTACATAAAGAAAATGCAACAGGATGAGCCTCATCTTTAGATTTTGGTGAAACTGAGCTGTCACCACTCCAAATGAACTTGAGAGGAGCAGCATAAAGCTTTGAGAATTGGGCATACTAGAGACAAACTCTACTGATACTATTCAAAAACTTTAACTGCCAAAGCCAAAAGATGTATTTGCCTAATTTAACTTGCTCTCTGTGCTTGGAACTGTGGTATTTGAGTGCAAGAACATCATAATTTCAGTTTACATCTAGAAGAGCACTTGCATGAGAGATGTTAGTGTCTCTCCTGTTCTATTTTCAGAGGCATCTTTAGGTTACCATTCATTGCCCCTTCTTATAATTTGTCTTTCTTTTCTGAAAATGACTTTTCTTTTCCAGATCTGTGGGCCTTTCCCTTCTGTCCCCCAAGTGCATGTTCAGCCATTACTTTCTTAGTATTTTATTACTTGAATTGCTAGCGTATTACTGAAAATTCAGTTACGGACCCGTTATCTGAGATGCTATGCAAACAGTTGTTTTGACATCAGTTACCTGCACAACTTTCAGGTTCATGGCCTAATATAATGCAATTTGGTTGCAGTTTACACCTTCAGTCACCATATCAGATGGGTATGTCACCTCAATCCAGGTTGACTTTCCTTTAATTAATCAGTTTAAACACTTCCTTGGCTTTGACAGAAATTTTTGCTCACTGGTTGCTGCAGTTCATGTATTACTGCAATGTGATTTTTTTTTTTTTTTTCAGTTTGGTTTTGGGCTTTTTGTTTTGTTTTTCAAAAAACATGGACATGGAGGTCATGGACTAAAACTGTCTGAGTATGAGAGCTCACCTAGTGCCTGCACTTTCCTTTTCCTATAAGGAATTCTTTCTTTTTTTGCAAAGCATTATTCCCATTTAAAAAAAGGGTTATTAGATGAGCCCTAGTCTTGTAATTTTCTGTAGTTAAATAATTACCTTCAGAGTTTGGATTCCTTCACTAGGACAGAGCTCTAAATTTGTCTTTCCTCCTTTTAGAAAGGAGGATTTACTTAATGACAGTCATGTTCCTTGTTGTGCAGTATTCAACTGATCCTTTGCAAACAGTCTTGCTGTATCCTCATTGTGAGGAGGTTTCTAAAATTAAACTCTGCATTTAGGAAGATTAGATCTAGAGCACTCTTCTCACCCACAAACTTGAGAGGGATGTGCAGTGGCCCTTTTCCTCACAGTATCCTCACCTATTATTCTTGCAGTCAACACCTGATTTTCTACTGGAATATGACCTCTCACTTGCCAGTGTGCAGGTTACCATCAGTTCACCTTAATTCTCCATCTAGAAGGCCTAGACAACCAGAATAATTACAGCATTTCCTTAGCTGACACAAAATACAATACTTAGCAAGTGGTCATCTGAGCAGCAGAACAAATGAAGCCTGGTTTCTTATAGCTGTGTGCAGTGTCTTGCATATGTCTACCTCCCTGCCACCGCCTGGTGTCATCTCCTATCCATCTGCAATCTGGGGATCTGCAATCCCCTATAGCTCTCCACTGTTCTCCCAAGTCTTCTCCAGGTTTCCAGTGTTTCCCCCAAGCCACCCTTATCCTTCTACTCTATTTCTATATTCCGGCTGCCCACAGTAGTGTTGCTAAACCATCTCGCCATACTTCAGGTTGTCTCTCATGTCCCCTTCCTATCTATCTCCTGGGAGATACTTGCTGGCTGACAGGTCCAGTTAAGCACAGCCTAACCTGGCCTTTCTGCCACTCAGAAGCAGATTCAATGATAGCACAAATCAGGTTATGTCTAATTAGCTACCTGTTTTTGTGAATTTTGTAATATATATCTGTTCATGCATATAAATATATACATGTATGTGTATGTATTTATACATGCAATGTTCAACCCTGTTGAGCAGAGTTCAACAGTTGTTAAACAGAGATTAACAGATTCACAATGCTATCTCATAAATCTTCATTCCTTAAGAAGAAAGATTCAATAAAGATATTTTTTTCAATTATTTGTACTGCTATTAATTATACAGAATTTTCTATATAAAAATATGTAATTTATAGATACTATAGGAAACTATATATTGTTACATATATAATATTATATATCTGCATATCTCTGTTAGTAAAGAAATTTGAAACTAAAAAAACACAAAACCCAAAAAAACCAGCAAAAGTTCTTTCAAACTTTTTACTCTCCTTATTTTGCTGTTGTCGTTTAGTATAGGTTAGGTTTCTAAACCAATCTGGTTATGAAAGTTCTCAGACCTGTTTAATTCTGATGTTATATATGAGATCACAGAAATACACACTTTCATTTTTCTGAGACATTTAAGAACACTTTGATAGCCTTAATGTTAAAAAACAGCCACTACAGTCATCAAATGTTCCTCCTGACTTCCCTTAAGAAACCATTCTTATGGTGCTAATTCAGTGCAGGATGAGATAGGAGCTGAATCACGTAATGCATTTTAATGTGAAAGTAACCTGAACATCATTTAGGTTGCCCCTGTGTAAAGGAATGTTTGCTTTTAATATTTTTTTATGTCATCTCTTTTCTATAAACCCACAGAGTACTTGTCAGGTTTGCTCACTCAAGACTGCATGTATGAATTAGTTTCAGGTTTCACTGCCAAATGAATAATTCTGAATAATCAAGAGACCCATTCATTCCTTTCTGATACTAAGATTGCCTCCCTTTTATAAGAAGTAAGACAGCATGTTACTTGGAAAACCTTCTTTACCTATCATTCTTCTATTAAAGCCTCTTTTCCTCTTAATTTCTCTCCCCAAATTAACTGTGTAAATGGTCAGTGCTGTACATGAGTTGTGTAAGACAGTCAGAATCTATTGTTAGTTCTACTTTATACAAAACAGCTTAGATTTTATTCATTTATATTATGAGATGTTAAGGAACATACTCTCGTGCATTTTTGTGTTCCCTGTACGCTGCTGCCACAGTCACTCTAGGTCCCCTAAATCCTTCCCAGGCTCTGCTTTGTAATCCTTTCACTCCCCCCACCCCCAAATCCTCTTCTAGCTGACCTTGCTGTCCTTTCTTCCCTTATCAGATTGCTCTCTCTGCTGCTACTTAAGGCTTATCCACAGAGAAAGATGGTGCTCACTAAATCGTGGTAACTGTGATCTGAACTTGCTGCAGCTAGCTGCTCCGCATCCCCAGCGCAGACCCTTTGAAAAGGGGATTACGCTGCTTTGCTCCCAGTTGCGGGGTCAGCAGGGTGCGTTCAAGTCCTTTGTGCCCAGTGTTTTCTTCTGGCTGTCTCTCAGCCTTCAGCAATACGAGGCAGGAGGAGACGCTTGCTTTAGGGATGTCAGCGGGAATTTAGGTTTTTGAAATGTTCCTCGTTTGTGTCCATACTGGGAGTCAGTGCAGTCGCCTGGTGTGCTGTAAATTTGTGCTTTGTTTTAGCGTAAGCAGATTTTTTTTCCAGATAGACAAGCCCATAAACTCAGGCTTCTGTTTTGTTTCTCTCTTGTTCTGTTAGAAAGGATATGTTACTGAACAAATGCAGAATTAACCCCTTTCTACCCTGAAACAATGATTGTCCCTAAACTGGGATAGTGTTTCTCAGATATGAAAGACAGCTGTTGAGTATAGAAAAATCAAATCTTTCTGATTTGAATAATTTTCTCCTGCTGCTTCTTCTGTTGACAGTGTTTTCCTGGCCACTGGTCAGTCACAGGGTCCTCACAAGTGTACAGTCTGAACAGGCAAGCCAGGCAGGCAAGGGGAAGGTTAAAGTAGTGTTATCTCTGTTTATAGATAGTATGGAGAAACGACAGCTGGGAAGAGAGTGATTTGTCTGTTGTCTTTCAGGAAGTTGATGGAAAGGCAAGGAAAGAGAAGCCAATTCTGTTGACTTCCAGTTCTGTGGTTTTTCTTCCCACCTCCTTCCACCTCAGTTTCTAAACATACCATAGATTAGAAAGGGGGTCAGACTTTTTAATGAATGCTCAAAGAGATTTTGAAAAGCCCTGAACTTGAGGCAGTCCAACAGTTTTGTGTACGCTTGTTGTTTTGTGCTCCATAAGAGGAATCATTCATTCATACAACAGAAGAACAGTGGCAGCAGATAGAAGCATCTCCATGCTGCTTTTCCTCTGTTCTTTGCCTTTTTGCTTTCTTGTCTTTTCTGGGATTACCATGTTTGTTCAGAAAGTACAATAATGCTTTCTACCTTTTTCCAGACGCATATGCATGGACACCAAGAATATTCCTCCTCACCAGTATTCCAGATGCCGAGGACTTCAGCCAGGCAGCCTTCGGCACCCCCTGCTCAGCTTCCACACAACAGCCTTCAGGGCCAGGGCCTTTGCTACACCACCAGTTCCACTGAGGACCTCCAGCCAGGTCACTCTTCAGCCTCTCTTATCAAAGCAATTAGAGAAGAACTTCTACGACTTTCTCAGAAACAGACAACAGTGCAGAACTTCCATAGTTGATTTAGCATTCCCTTGCAAATCTGCCAGGTATCTGCTTCCTATGGAAGCAAAGACTTAGAGGAAATCAGCAATGTTGTTCTCTCAAAAGAATGAACTTTCACAGCTCTGTTGACAACACTCTGGAAAAAATGAAAAAGGCAGCAAAATGAGGATAGTAAGGAGAGATGGAGGACAAACAGGGAAAATCATCAGTGTCATCACAAGTAATATTAATTAATCTGCTAATATTACGGTGCTCCTCTTCTCTCCCTACCCTCATTCAGCCTAACAAATAAATAAAACCTTAGGTCAAGAAGTCAACACTCCAGCAACAAAAAAATCATGGGAACAAACTCCAAGTATGATAGACTCCTTTTTCTAAGGAAGTAGGCAAAGGTTTGAATAAACTGAGATGACATTTTGCAAGAGATTACAAGTTTTCTGATCTCTCCAGTGCTCATGGGGAACTGGTTTGTGTTGCTGTTCTGCAAGATTACAAATTGTATCTGCTCAAGGGTGTTAAGGTGTGATCCCACATAAGAATCACTTTGGTTGTCAGGAACAATGGGACTACTTACAATAAAAGTCTTTATGAGCTACTTGTAACAAACTGGAACAATAATTGTTATAGCTCTGTGCTTCCAAATGGAGCTACCCTCTGCACTCTTCCTTGTTTTCCTTCTGGTGCTGAAGCTTCAAGTGTTCCTTCATCTTCAATGTTTGCAAAGTGAAACATTGGCCTTGTATAACTAAGAAAATATCTGTAGACTCATTCAGGCTGGAAAAACAAAGCAAAGCATCCAAACAGAAAGGGCTTGGTATTTATTTTGTTTAAAAATTATTGCAAACTAGGAGAGAAATACTCAGCCACAATTGAATTTGGGGAAATGTGTATGTTATATCTTTAAAAAAATATATTTACATACTATATGCTCTTGCAAGACCAGCGATAAAATATTGCCACTCTGTAGTTTGCTTTGTGGACAGAAACCAGTCCAGCCTGACTGGTACAGGGTCACCAGCATTACGTTATAAACTGATGTCCTAAATCATTGCTTATGTTTGGATCTGAATAATTTTAGTGAAAGTCAGTGACAGTTTAGAGCATTAACATAGGCTTAGATTTGCGGTTTTGAGACAGTTTTTATATTTATACTTGTTTCCACTGTCCCTTTGGACAAAGCGTAAGCATTATCCCCATGGTAAGAATGGTATGTGCCATGGAACTGTTTGTCGCTGTTTTTTCCAGAGTTTTAATTTAATATTAGCTACGAATTTACTAATATTTGGCCATTGCATAACTGTAACTGACATAATACATACGGAAATTTTACTTGAGTCATGATTTGTTGGAGTGTTTTTATTTTCAGATCAGACTGAACTAAACCTAACAAACTGGCACTGAGATAGAGGGTAAGCTCAGTGTTTGTGAGGAAGCTTGAGAGCCTTGCCCTAGAAAAATGAAAAGCAAAACTATCTGGTGCTAAAGTGTGGGTATTTCAAACACTAGTAGATGGTAGTTGTAAAAGGTCTAAGGAACAGTAGTCTGCCAAAGAGATCATTGGGCAGTTGATCAGGGTAGGGCTGCATTTGCCTCACTGGGGTAGAAATGGCATTGGTAAAATACAGGTATATAACACTGGCACGGTATGGTGGTCTTTGGCTACCAAATCTGTTCCTGGTTCCAGTGCACAGTTCAATAACTGTGACAGGACTAATTCAGCCTGAAATGAAAACAGGTACATATGAAGGACACCATGGAAGAACTCTACATACATTGTTCATGAAGTATGAACATAATATTCATTGCCAAAGCCAAAACTAGGAAGCAACTGGCTGCTCACTGATGTGGAAAAAAAGGTGGTATGTTTCCCTTCTTCATTAGGAAGCTCAGTTATTTTTCTGTTTACCCATGATCATCAAAAGGCTGTATGGAATTGTTTTGAGGGACTTACTGTAGCGAATCAGCCTAAATTAATTTCCAGTTCCCTGGCCAATACTTAAAGCCCTCATGGGCACTGGTTGAAGTTTGAATGGAGTCAGAACACCAGCATGGTTGTGAATAGCAGTACCAACAGGTTATTATGTTTTGAATTTTTTAAGCTTTTTGTGTGATAATCACTTCTAGGATAAAAATAAAAAAAGTTTGTTTTCTGCCAAGTTTGTAAACATGAATGTTGCCAATGCTTCTGCAAAATGTCAGGCTTTGCAGAATGAAGAGTATATCAGGCAATGTTCATTTGGTCTTTTTGACAATGCTGAAGACTGACTGTTCCTAAGTGTTTCCATTAAAACCAACTTTTTCATAGCCTGCATCCTTCTCCGGCTAAATTCTGTGGTGAGGTCAGAGGCCAGTGCTTATAATACGGACATGTTACTGTGACTTCATTTCAAGAAACTGTGGGCTTCTAGAAAGTAAGTTCGTTGTCTGTCTGCTGGTTCCAGCTATTTAAGAAGGAATATGAAGTAAGAGCTTTGAAAGTTAGAGGTACTTAAGCCTCATCCATTTTTGCTAGTGATGGCGATGCTATTATGATATTCCATCTTTTTCTGTTTGGAAGAATGATCTTTTTCTTTTCGGTCCCAAATCTTATGAAAAGCATGTACAGGACAGATATGTGCTGGTAAATAAAAGAGGCTTCCTGATGCAAAAATCCCTCTTTAAAACCTTACAAGTCCTTGCAGAAGGACAGTAAAATGTAAGAAGCTGGAAAGCTGTGTTTGGAAGTTGTGTTCTCAAACTGGCTGGAGACCTGATCCACTGTTCACAAAAAATGGTATGGCATAGTCTGTATCTTCATATAGTGAGAAAAGTAACACATAAGGCACCAGTTCCAAGGACGGTCTTAACAAGGGAGACCCACACTTTACTTTCTGCAGCTACAGGAAAAGTTAGGTTTTTCATGGGCTACAACAGGACTGTGGAATGCATGTGCCAAAATGTGTGTTTCCACTTGGGAATTCAGGGAAGAAAATCTGTAAGCTTCTGCATCCCCATGTGCTTGAGCTTTTTTACCAATTTTTTATTGCCCTCTTAAAAGGGGGGGTTTTTTTTGGGGTGACGCAGGCCGCTGCCGCCAAACCTTTTTTCCTGAAACTTAAAGTATCCTGAATTTAAGTATCTGTTAATGTATCTACCAGTTTCTGAAAACACTGATCAGATGAGAAGTTCATACAGACACAGAAAGCTGTTACCAACAGTTACATCCATTTCCATGACTAAACCATCTGGTTCATGGAATCCTCAGGCTCTTCTCTTCACAATTTTCCTTGACATTTGTGTTTAGTCTGTGTTTAGTTTGGCATATAGAAGAACTTGGCAAGATGAGAGCTACGTAATTTAGCTTGGTTGGTTTGCTTTTCCTTTCCATGGCCAAAATGTTGACCTCTAGCCTGCTTCTTGATTATCTTTGGAGCTAAGTGAAATTTTACAATTATTTTTCATGCACTCTGTTTGAAAGGCGGGGCATACTTCAGTAGCATAAAATACTCTCTACCGGGATGTAACACATGGTCCTGTCAGTGACTGTGGGCGTGTGACTCAAAGAAAACCTTGCTTTTAGGAGGAGTGAATTGCATAGGTGCTGGACTGATGATGTTAAATGTCCACACTTTGGAGCAGTAAGTGGAATTTCACTGACCCTTTGCAATGTACTGTGCTTGCAGTGGTTTGGAACAGGCTTCATATGTAGTGATTGGAGAGCAGCAGCATCACACAAGGTCTGTGTATCACCTCTGCGCCCAAAGGGGTGGTTGGCAAGATGTTGGCTACCCCAACATCATGCACCTTTATGCACACACATAAATACCTAAATAGATTGATCACCTGAAAGTGCACGTTCCTACTAAGCGCTGAAGCCAGTGCCTTTAAATTAGACCACTGATGGCAGGGTTACAGCGTTATCTTAGAAAGAGGCTGTTTACAGTGATCGTAACTTCCCAAGAACTAAAACAGCTGATGCTGTTGTGTGTTAACTCACGGCTTGAAAACACATTAGATGGATTACACAAGGAAGCTAGGATGTATCTGAGCCCAAGCGAAGTCACCAGTTGTGTGATGCGGATGGCAGTAGGCAGTTGAACTCATTTTTTAACTCTTACCCTAACTACATTCTCCCCTTTTCCAGCTTTAATAATTTTTCAGCTCAAAGAAGAAATTGGCATTTCCCATTCCATGCTTTATCTAGCAGTTCTTTGTTAACAGGTGCCAGTCCTTGAAAAAAATGTATCTTGGCCAAGAGCTTTGAAGTGGCAGGATGAAGAACATTTGTGACTTTGAGGTGGGAACATGTCGTGGGCCATATTTTTGCAGCAGCGAATAAATAAGCTTTAAAAAAAATAACACCTGTTTGGTGTTTTCTGAATATGGACATAAAGCTGAAAATAGATTAAAAGAAAAAGGATGACATCTGATTGTCAGAAGGCAAAGGACAGCAACCAGGTCTCCAGGACCACCTGTGACAGTGCACTAAAGAGAGGGAGGAAATCTTGGGGACTCCCCCTGCCCCGACTCGAGCCGATTCCATAACACAGCCCCTCTGCTGTGCAGTCCTTCACCACTTGCAATGCTGGTCTGTACAAGTGAGGAACATCTCTCACCAGTGAGACTCCCAAAAGCAGTTCACCATGGCTGTAGAGTTTTTCCAGGATTGTTTAGATGTCCCTAGAGAAAGGTAGCAGCTTTAAAGTGCTTAAATGTGGAAATAAAAATCTAATACCCTTTTGTGGTGGGCATCTTTTTCCTCTTCCTGTTATGTTTTATTTTAAAATGGGGGGGAAACCCTGGGGGTATATTCTACTGTCACCAGTATGCTGTCATTCATGTATTCCAGTATCTCTAGGTCCTAAATACTGAGGAAGCAGAAATTGGGAGTGCAAGTTTTTGGTGATGCTGATGAAGATTCACTGTAGTTATGCAGTATTTTGGTGTGAGTGCACTTGAGGGTTTGGAAAGTCTGGTACCTCTCTTACGGTGAGTGTTGCTTGAAATGCAGCTTATGTCAGAAGGAGGACTGTAGAAACTTTCTTCTCTATCTCTGACACTAATTCAATGAGGGCAGAACAAGCTCAGCTTGTGACAGCTCATACCAGTAGGATTGGTAGTTTAGATCCAAATGCTGGTCTGCATGTTGTCCCTGGTCACATCTGCATGACTTCCACTGAAAACCATTTAGTCACATGTATGCTTTGGAAGGAGAATTAATCCTACAAATTCTTTAGTACAGTTTGGGATGCACTTGGCAAGAGGTGTCTAGCTTTGATGTACAAGTCCCAGGGTGAGTTTACTCACCCTGAGGGTAAGAAACTTGAGAAGCAAAAATCCTGTGGAGTTGCACTGCTTT